GTCGGTAGTAGGCAGAGTCGCTGCTGGGAACTAAACAAGCCAGGAAATGCCTCCTGAGAGCCCTGCCACCCACCTTAGGGAGGCCCTCTCCCCGCACCCACCGACAGGTCGGGCGGGAAGAGCAGGGCACAACTCTGAAGTCTGCGTCAGTCTACAGTTGGGCAGGATGGGGTCCTGAAACCGTGCCCTGGAAACATCCTACCTCCTCCCCCAACCCGGGCAAAAAGGCGTGGAGAGGAGGGAGGGGTACAGGAAAGCACCTGGGCGGGGCTCCGAAACTTCCGTGGAGTTGGAAAAACGCTGGGGATCTGGTGCACCCAGCTCTTCCAACCACCCGCCTTACGGGAAAAGGGATTTCCCTAGAGACTTCCCCGAGGTGCTGAAGTGGTTGTGTGTTGGGCCCCTAACTGCAAAGTCCAGCAGTTCAAAACCACCAGCCAGCTCTGCAGAAGAAAGACGAGGCTTTTTACTCCTGTAAAGAGTTAGTTTCTGAAGATCCTGGGGCAGTTCTACCCTGTCCTATAGGGTCGCTATGAGTCAGAATTGACTGGATGGCAGCGAGTCCCCGAGGCCGGCAGAAAGCGTCCCTGAGAGAGGTAATTGAAGCCTGGAGTGCTGCCCAGGGGCCTGGTCCAGGCCTAAAATTAAGGCCCCGCCCGTCGCTTTCTCCTCCAGGGCTGCGTCTCCCTACCAACACCGCCCCGGGATGCAATGTGTTGTTACAACTCCCCAGCCGTCATACTACCCGTACCCCAACCTCAGGTAAGTCTCGCCCTCTAGGAGACGCACAATGAGGGCTGTCCCTCGGTGCGGCCCCGCGGACTAGCTGGGCAAGAACTGTCAGCTGCTGTGTACTGATGGGAAGGCGCCGCGAGGGGGCGCGAGTGCCCCAAGGAAGTTAAAAACGGGCACCCAATCCCTTGGCCACTGGTGGATTCCGACTCATAGCAATCCTGTAGAACAGAGTAGCTACAGCTTGCGCCATAGGGTTTCCAAGACGCTAAATGTTGACAAAAGTTGCCACATCTTTCTTCCGGAGAGCTGCTGGTGGGTTCAAATCACTGAGCTTTTGCTTAAACCACTGCCATCAGGGCTCTTTAAGGAAGTCAAAGCAAGCTAGAAAATAGAAGATTGTCCTTCACCTGACCCCCACGCACCTCCATGACAAGGGGATCGGTATTGAGGAGTCAGGGTTTGGCAGTGGGACTTAAGAGTCAACAGATCTGGGCGTTGGGTTCAGAACTTATGTAAGGAGTCTGTGCTAAAGAGCAGGTATTGGGAATCAAACAGCTGGACCTACTATTGGTACCGTGTGTCCCAAAGCCAGTGTTAGGGGACACGATGTTGAGATCAAGGCCAGCATTGAGAATTCATGTCAGATGTTCAATTAGATGCATGAGAATCCAAAAGAACTGACCCATCTTTCCCCACAGATGGGACACAAGTCACTTCAAGAAAACTGGCGGTGCCTTGAAAAACAACTATGTTATCCACCCTGAATTTGTGTCTGAGACCTATCCTGAGTATGGCTACTGGTAGAGCCTGGGCCCACCAAGGCCAAGGGGGGTGAGCAATAAAGAAACTCTTCACCCCTAACAGCTGTCTACTGTGTCCTTACCCAGCAGGATGGGGCAGGGAAAGTTCTCACACTCAGGTCTCTGGCAAGCCTACCCTACCCTGAGTCACCTCCCCCACAATATCAATGCTTCCCTTGGGTGACAATGAGTACTGGTGTCATCCTCTCCACCCCAGAGCCCAGGTTTCTCTAGTTACACAGGACAGACTCCTGTTCTTTGGGCCCATATATCTTCCCACCCCCTAAGACCCTCCAGCTGAAAATCTCCACCCTCCCCTTGAAAATGGCCTTTCCTAGAAAGTTGATGGTGCCTGGCTATCAAAAGGTATAGCGTCTGGGGTCTTAAAGGCTTGAAGGTAAGCAAGTGCCCATCAAGCTCAGAAGCAACAAAGCCCACATGGAAGAAGCACACCAGCCTGTGCAATCAAAAGGTGTCGAAGGGATCAGGTATAAGGCATCATCAGAACAAAAAATCTTACCACAGTGAATGAGGGGCGGAGTGTTGAGTGGAGACCCAAAGCCCATTTGTAGGCCACTGGACATCCCCTTGCAGAGGGGTCTCAGGGAGGTGACGAACCAATCAGGGTGCAATGTAGCAATGATGAAAAATACAACTTTCCTCTAGTTCCTAAATGTTTCCTCCTCCCACCCCACCCCCTATCATGATCCGAATTCTACCTTGCAGGTCTGGCTAGACCGGAGGATGTACACTGGTACAGATAGGAACTGGAAACACAGGGAATCCAGGGTGGATGATCCCTTCAGACCAGTGGTGTGAGTGGCGATACTGGCAGTGTAGAGGGAGAGAGGGTTGGAAAGGGGGAACCTCCTCCTTGGGGGATGGACAACAGAAAAGTGGGTGAAGGGAGATGTCGGACAGGGCAAGATATGACAAAATAATAATTTATAAATTATCAAGAGATCATGAGGGAGGAGGGAGCAGGGAGGGAGGGGGGAAAAATGAGGAGCTGATGTCAGGGGCTTAAGTGGAGAGCCAATGTTTTGAGAATGATGAGGGCAATGAATGTACAAATGTGCTGTACACAATTGATGTATGTATGGATTGTGATAAGAGTTGTATGAGCCCCAAATAAAACGATTTTTTAAAATGGCCTTTCCTGCATCTCATTGGACCCAGAATTGTCCATACTACAGTCCTGCTCCCAAACCCAAAGCTCTCAATCTCTGCTCCCAGAGTCTCATCAGAGTTCCCCCAAACTCTGTGCTCACTGTGTTACCCAAGTTTAAGGAGTCCAAAACAGATTTTTGGGGAAATCTCAAGACCAAGAAATTGCAAACTGCAAAACAAAGGGAGCATGGAATAGGGTGCTCTGGAATCCTGGATCGAGGCACACTTGCCTCTGAGTACCACAGGCATTTTCTAAGCACTGCCACCAAAAGGAGTGACTAGACCCATAAATAACCAGGTTGGAGGGGAGGGGCAAAATACCCAGGGGAACCGGTCCTCCCAATCACAGGCCGGCCGTTGAGACCACTGTTAACCCCAGTGACTAGTCCTGGCAGCCTCAGCCTCTCGAGGAGGCTCCCTCCGTGACCAACTTGGTGGGCTCTACCCGAACTCCAAAAAACCTAAACTCACGGCCATCAAGTGACCCTATAGGACAGGGTAGAACTGCCCTTGTGAGTTTCTGAGACTGTAACACTTTACAGTAGAAGAAAACCTCAGCTTTCTGCCGCGGAGCAGCTGTTGGTTTCAAACTGCAGACCTTGCAATTAGTAACCACTGTGTCACCAGGGCTCCTTTTCCTTGCACTGAGCTATCCTTTTCCACATGAGAAAACTAAGAACCTGGTCAGAGAGAGCATGAGGCTTCCACAGGAAGGAAAGGAATGCCTAGGAACAGCTGTACCACTTTACTGCTCCCTAAACTCAACCTGGAGGTGCAAGAACAGCAACCGTTGGAGGCCGCACCTCCCTCCAGAACTACATTTCCCAGCAGGCCCGGGGCGGAGCACCGCCCGCAGGCGGGGAAAGGGACACCCAGTGGAGGGGGGCCGGCGGGCAGCGCTGGGAACTGGGGAGGCACCAAGCTTGTGCAAGCTGGAGATGCAAAGGGCTGGGCGCCCAGCAGTGCGAGGAAGATGGGGGCGGGCGCCTCGGGCCCGCGTGACAATATGGGAGGAGGAGTTGGGCGCCAGGGGTGGGGCGGAGCGGCCTGGGCAGGGCGAGTCGCCGGCGGGCGGGGCCCGAAGGGCTCCTGTTGTCCCTGGGCAGGCTGCGGTCCGTGTCCTGCAGTTCAACTCTGGCTGACACCGAGGGATCTGCAGAAGCCTCCCTTCATCCCTATTTCGTCCCTGATCGAGCTGGCGGGAGAACCTTGAGAGACTACTAAGGGCGCACGATGCCTGAACTTTCGTGTTTGGCCCCACCCACTCATCTGTAGGAGGCCAAAGACGAACCCAAGGTATGGCAGGTGCGGCACGTGCCCTGGGACCACTTGCAGGGGGTGCCCCGAGCAGCTTTTATAAGCCGAGTATGGCCCAACAGCTGACTCAAACGGGGTAGACCTCCAGAGACGTAGCTGAGGGCGGAACGCAGCGGGGAGCACTTTCCCCAGACACAAGTGCAACGGGGCGGGTGCTCAAGGCACAGAATGACATCCCGCAGCGCCACAAATATGAAAGGTGCCAGACTGAGGCAGCGGGACCAGACATGCCCTCGGTCAACGTCTGTCTATTCATCCAGAAATGGAGGGAGGGGGAAATGGAAATATAAAAATTGTTCGGGGGGGAGGGGAGCAGGGGCAGGAATTGGGCGGCAGGTGGGGGGGCACAGTTTAGAGATTGCTCCGCCCTCTCTAGGTCATTGGGTAGGACGAAGTTGAACACCTGGGTCCCTCGGACATAGTTTCCAACAGGCCACAGGCTCGCTTAACCTCAGTCTCACCCTTCAGACAGTTAGACAAGTCGCTGGGGGTGGGTGCAGCTTATTTCAGGCCGAAGGCACGTCACTCGATCCCTGCGAATCCCTTCTCCTGGCGGAGGAGGGAGATGGGCCAGATCAAGTTGCCTTTGACATTTCCAACCCCCTGGGAACTGCAACCTACAAAGGACTCTGCTTGGAATGGCATGGCTCTTCCCCTCCCACCGAGCTAGGGGTTGGCAGCCAGGGCTGAGGTGGAAGTGGAGTGGGGAGAGGAAGGAGCACACCCCACATTAGCGTGTAGTTGGTCAGATGGTGGAGGTGGCAGATGACAGAGGTCTCTAACACCATAGATCACATGGGAACCACAGGGTTCCTCTCCAACGTCCCCCCTCTAAATACCTTGCCAGATTTCTTAGTGCCCAATGCTATTAAAATTGCCCCTTTCCCTCCCCCAAGAAACCTTCCTGGTCTGCCTGGAGCAAGTAGCAGCACCAAGCTCTAAGGAAGACTGGCCTGGCCCTGCCCACGCCCCCCTGGGGAAAGCCTGCCCCACCAACTCTTGGCCATGGAGCATTCAGACAGGCGGGCCCCACCGTTTCTGCCATCATCTCAAACGTAGGCTGTGTGGGTGGAGGGTGGACGGGAGCTGAGGGTTTTGCACTCAAGCAACCTTGTTATCTGAGTGACTTCCGATGAGTCCCTTTTCCTGTTAGGGTCACTATTTCTATTTTCTCTTCTGTAAAACGGACATTGTAGCTACTGGTCACCCAGCATTCTTGGATGCTGCTTTGGCATTCGAGTGCCTGTGAGCAGCAGGTGCCCAGGTCTGGGACCCCCTGCCCCCTTCGTCAAAGAACCTTAGAATCCTAGAAAGTTAAGATTCTGAGAACCTAAGTGTTGGGAAGAGAGCAAGTGGCCTCTTCCAAGGGCCAAAAGATGGGCTAACTTAACAGGAATGTTTTGAGGATCCATGCCTAGAATGGGTTTTTTTTTTTTTTTTTTTTAAGGGAATGAATACAAATGCACAGCAAGCCTGGCCTGGGCTGCGCAAGACTGCCCCTGGGTCCTGCTCTGCTTAAGAGCATCAACTAAAGACCACTGCATGCATGTTCCCGCAGGGTGTCTCTAGCCTATACCTACAGGAAGTGGTGTCCACTGTGAGCTGGGGAGGTAAGCTAAGTTGTGCAGGTAACTGTGCTGACCAGCTGTTCCAGACCAGCTAAGGCTGACCATTTGGGGAGTGAAGTCCTGAGATAGCACCTTCTGAGGGGGAGGCTGGAGGTTGTGGGGTTGTGTACTGACTGCTGGGTTTCAGGTTCTGATTTGCACTGGCATTCTTGTTGGTCTCTGTGTTAGGGAGGTGAGGCTCCCGGGTACTCCTGGCATCGCCTGGGGTGGAGCTGGAGACTCGAGGCAGACACTGCCTGGCATCTAGGAGGAGGCTAATTACTGTTTGCCAGTTTCCTTCTCTCCTCCCCCCAGCTGGAGCCATGGGAGCAGGCCAGCTGGCTGGCAGTGCCATGTCTGCTTGGTGCTATTGCTTTGATGGACTCTGCCCTGGGGGCTGGGACAGGAAGGGTCAGCGGCCCTGAGCCACACACCTCCCTCAAAGCCTACAGTTTTCTGCAGCCAGATCCAGGTGTCAGCCCCCAGTATGTGAGAGCAGAGCCATGCTATGGTGGGCCTGGTTCCTGGAGAGCTGCTAGGTGAGGTGGGTGAAGTCTCAAGCAGGTGGCCTGAACGATTTAGGTTGGGGGAGGAATGATCTTGGTAGGCACAGGATAGGCCTGGCGGGATATGGAGTCAGATGGGCCGCTGAGATCGTGCAAGTCTTGCGCTTCAATCGCAAGGCTTTATGCTTCCGGACCTGTGCAAGCTGGGGCTCAGGAGGATCTGACAAGTGCTTCAGAAGGATCACAGAGTTGCTGGGACCAGGAGACACTGGAAGGGAGAAACTAGGGAAAGGGAGGCTACTGGGAGAGGTGTTCCAGTAACAAGGGAGAAGTGGCAGTGCCCACACTGGAGCAGGGGCAGCAGGGCAGCCAGTGGGTGAGTGGTAAGAAAGCCAGGAGGTGGCCGGCCCACAATTGTCTCGCTTGGAGCAGAGCAGGGAGGTAGTCAAGAGAAGTAGACTTGGTGACACATGACAGCAGGGTGGAGGGGAAGGCCACCTCCAGCCTTCACATCTGAATCCAGCCCTTCCTCCCACAAACCAGGCCAGAGGACTGAGCCTGGCTTTGGGGCATCTCCTTTGTTCTCCTGATTTAATCTGTTGCCCTGTTAAAGGTCTCTGTGTGGGATGTCAGGGAGAGCAGACTTATTCTGTGACCCTGGACAGTCCCCGACTCTCTTGGGGTATGTTTTCCCAGCAGGAAATTAGGAATGTGGGCTGCCTGTCCTCTCCACATTCAAGGAGTCCTCAGCAGCATTGGGAGAAAGGGTGGGTAGGATACACAGAAGGTTGATCCAGAGAGCCACACCTTTGTCATGCTGGTCACTTGCCCTTGATCAAGCCCTTAGGTCCCAGTGTTTCCCATAGTCTCCCCCTCCCCCTCCTTTCTCGCTACAGTGAGTGGGAAAACTATGGAATTAAGACAGCTCTGTTTCATCTCTCTCCCCTTTCTAGACTCCAGAAGGCTGGGTTCGGATGGGCTTGGAGGGATGGCTCCACTGTCCCATCCTGCTTTAGCTAGCAGCTGATCGATCACTGGGTCTCTTGGGAGACGCGCCAGGCCTACCCCCACTGCTGCCCTGAGATCCCCAAGACTCCCGCAGCCACCACCATGTACACCTTCTTGCCAGACAACTTCTCGCCGGCCAAGCCCAAGCCATCCAAAGAGCTGAGGCCACTTCTGGGCTCTGCGGTCCTGGGCTTGCTGCTGGTGCTGGCAGCGGTGGTGGCCTGGTGCTACTACAGCGTGTCTCTACGCAAGGCAGAACGGCTGCGCGCGGGGCTGCTGGACCTCAACCAAGGCGGCTTCTCCATCCGCAACCAGAAGGGCGAGCAGGTTTTCCGCCTGGCCTTCCGCTCGGGCGCCTTGGACCTCGACTCCTGCAGCCGCGAGGGCGCCGTGCTCGGTTGTGCGCGCACGGCCGATGGCCGCCCGCTGCACTTCTTCATCCAGACGGTCCGGCCCAAGGACACGGTCCTGTGTTACCGCGTTCGCTGGGAGGAGGCGGCGGCCGGGCGCGCGGTGGAGCACGCCATGTTTCTGGGCGACTCGGCGGCCCACTGGTACGGTGGGGCCGAGATGAGGACGCAGCACTGGCCCATCCGCCTGGAGGGCCAGCAGGAACCCCAGCCCTTCGTCACCAGCGACGTCTACTCCTCCGACGCCGCGTTCGGGGGGATCCTCGAGCGCTACTGGCTGTCGTCGCGCGCGGCCGCCATCAAAGTCAATGACTCGGTGCCCTTCCACCTGGGCTGGAACAGCACGGAGCGCTCGCTGCGGCTGCAGGCGCGCTACCACGACACGCCCTACAAAGCGCCCGCCGGCCGGCCCGCAGCGCCCGAGCTCAGCTACCGCGTGTGCGTGGGCTCGGACGTCACGTCCATCCACAAGTACATGGTGCGGCGCTACTTCAACAAGCCGTCGCGGGTGCCCGCGCCCGAGGCCTTCCGCGACCCCATCTGGTCCACGTGGGCGCTGTACGGGCGCGCCGTCAATCAGACCAAGGTGCTGCAGTTCGCGCAGCAGATCCGCCAGCACCGCTTCAACAGCAGCCACCTGGAGATCGACGACATGTACACGCCGGCTTACGGCGACTTCGACTTCGACGAGGCCAAGTTCCCCAACGCCAGCGACCTGTTCCGCCGCCTGGGCGAGGCGGGCTTCCGCGTCACGCTCTGGGTGCACCCGTTCGTCAACTATAACTCATCTAGCTTCGGCGAGGGCGTGGAGCGCGAGCTGTTCGTGCGCGAGCCCACCGGGCGGCTGCCGGCGCTCGTGCGCTGGTGGAACGGCATCGGCGCCGTGCTCGACTTCACGCGGCCCGAGGCGCGCGACTGGTTCCAGGCGCACCTGCGGCGGCTGCGCGCGCGCTACGCGGTGGCCTCCTTCAAGTTCGACGCGGGCGAGGTCAGCTACCTGCCGCGCGACTTCAGCACCTTCCGGCCGCTGGCCGACCCGAGCGTGTGGAGCCGGCGCTACACCGAGATGGCGCTGCCCTTCTTCGCGCTGGCCGAGGTGCGCGTGGGCTACCAGTCGCAGAACATCTCGTGCTTCTTCCGCCTGGTGGACCGCGACTCGGTGTGGGGCTACGACCTGGGCCTGCGCTCGCTCATCCCCGCCGTGCTCACCGTCAGCATGCTGGGCTACCCGTTCATCCTGCCCGACATGGTGGGCGGCAACGACGTGCCCGAGCGCGAGCTCTACGTGCGCTGGCTCGAGGTGGCCGCCTTCATGCCGGCCATGCAGTTCTCCATCCCGCCGTGGCGCTACGACGCCGAAGTGGTGGCCATCGCGCACAAGTTCGCCGCGCTGCGGGCCTCGCTTCTGGCGCCGCTCTTGCTGGAGCTGGCGGGCGAGGTCACGGACACGGGCGACCCCATCGTGCGCCCGCTCTGGTGGATCGCGCCCGGTGACGAGACGGCGCACCGCATCGACTCCCAGTTCCTGATCGGGGACACGCTGCTGGTGGCGCCCGTGCTGGAGCCCGGCAAGCAGGAGCGCGACGTTTACCTGCCCGCTGGCAAGTGGCGCAGCTATAAGGGTGAGCTGTTCGACAAGACGCCGGTGCTGCTCACCGACTACCCGGTCGACCTGGATGAAGTCGCCTACTTCACCTGGGCATCCTAAGCCATCCCATGCCCTCAGCGATGCCAGGCCTTCCGCCTAGCTCCTCCCCTCCATCCCACTTCCTCTGTGTACCCCCAGCAAGTCCCCACCTCTGACCCTCTAAGTGGGGGCAGATACCTCCTGTGCTCAGGCCAGCTCGTGTGGGTCTGGGAGGAGCCGCTGAGGAAGACGCCCACCCAGACACAGTCCCAAGCCCTGCTTTCTCCTCCACATTCCTTCCTCGAGTAGGAGGGAGCTCAGAGAAAGGCCAGCTTGCTTCCTGTCACGTGTGGTTGGGTTTCAAAAGCACAAAGAGCAACGTCTTCGTCTCTCTTGGCTCTAGTGGCCACCTTTGTCCTTCAGGAGTGGGGTCTTGAGGCCCTCTACTAGACGTTACCCCGCTACACTTAAGGGCACATTCTCAGAGTAGAGAGTAGAGCTCTGTCCCTTGTCTCAGCTGAACTCTGACAGACCTGGCCCTGTCCCAGCTGGGATGAAGGCATGGAGGTGCTTGGCCAGCTGACAAGGAGGTGACAGGCCCCTGCCATGGTATAGCCATCTAGCCCCCCATTAG